ACTCGCTAATCACGAATTAATATAATCTGTAACGTAAAGTGGTCATCCATGCAAGTACTCTCGATCCATACTCGCTTTAGCTTAACCTTTGTCTTGAGTGTTTCGGGCCTCTTCGGTAACGGCGTTCACGGGCGATGGTCTTTTCTGACATATTTCATCTTGTCAAATAAAATCTGTAACATGACTATTTTGTAGATAGTGACCCCCCTCTCCGGAAGACTGGTATATTGTGAGCCTTTCCCCGGAAGATTAGCTATATATTGAGCCTTCTCCCTGGGAAGTCTCATTATATAGCCATTCTCCCGGTAGGGAATTTAAGACTCACTCTATAGCCAGTCTCCCATCCCAACCCTACCCCCTTCCTAGCGAGGCTTCGATCCCTTCCTCTATAGTTTGCGGGGGAAAAAAAACATTTCGGTCTTCATTTTGTATATGAATACTTTTGCTGCCGCTCCTTAAGTTTTGCAAAATATCCTTCTCTAGATCTGGAAATAGCCTTTGAAAGGGAACAAAGATATTAGGCGTTAATTATAACTTTACATACAATATACATGTAGTACACAAACGTTATATTTCAGTTCAAAATTACATGTAAATGTCATTATGATATTGTTAGTTTTCATGCAGAATTCCATTCCCGATACAGCTAGAATAAATATAATTCAGGCCATCTTTAAAAACTTGCCTGTTTGCCCTCTTCCGACCGACTGAGTAAAAATGACCCGAGCTCCATTTTTATTTAAAACTTCTAGAAAAGGATCAATTTGTTTTATTCACTCTGGAATTTCCTCATCCCGTCAACAATTATTTTAATTAACTAATACCTTCAATTTCAATAAATTTTGAAAAGTAAACTTTGATTTTGAAAATTTCTGGAAAAAATATTTTACTTATCTACTTATTCTATTCTTTTATCTTGAGTCGGGAGACGGCAATTTTTTTTTTCTCGATCTGTAACGTAAGTCAAATGTGTCAACTAGAATTGATTCCCTCTCCATTTCAAAGTCATCAGATGTGATATATTTTAGCTACATTTCATTATGATGGAAATCTGAGGGTTTTTTCCAGACATCTACTAGTAATTCATTATTTTTTTTTCGTCAATTTATCCACGGATAAGTCCTAGCAATAGGACAAACCAAACACCAGTCACTGCCACCAATTTTGAACATGTAACATGAGTCTGTTATCCATCCAATGATACAAATTATGGACTTAATTATTATTTATTTATTTATTTATTTATTTATTTATTTATTTATTTATTTATTCATTTATTTATTTATTTATTTATTTTTCAGAAATGTTTGTGTTTTCGTGGCCCCATGCCAGCCCTAGGGCCATCGTTTTTACAAATTTTAATCTATGTACACTTTGAAGTGATGCTTGCATACTAATTTTAGCTAGACTCTAGTTAATTTTAAGGATTTTTTTTCTAATTATTCAAATGTTGACTTGATCCATATTGTGGCTACATCACACATGATTTGAATAAAAAATGAATCTACTTTATATTAGGAAGCTTGCATACCAAGGCGACTATAATTGCGGTTCTTTTTTTTTTCTTAAGAAGATTTCCATTTTGCTCCCCTATATATATATATATATATATATATATATATATATATATATATATATATATATATTCAAAACTTTAATCACCTATATTGACCTCACTCCAGGCCTGGGGACCATGTACGATCTGAAGAAATTGAAGTTGCACTAAATGGCAATGCTATTGATTTGACTTATCATGGTCCTGCTGTTCTAAAAAAAAGATTTCTGCGAAATCCTAATATATTTCGATGAATAACGTTGTTTCCTTACCTTCTTCAGAGGACCATGGTTTAAACAAACTTAACTACAATATAGGAGATGCTTCCATGACATTACAACCATTTATGGCCCTGCTGTCCAGGAGAAGAAATTTGAAGATTTTTTCTATATATATTGAAGATGAATTTCATTTTTTATTCATTTGTCCAGTTTTTCATGATTTAAGAGACAAATTCATCAAACATTACTACTCCTGAAGACCAAGTGTCTTTAAACTAATACAACTATTTTGTAGTACAAATACCAAAAAAGGGAAATATAAATATCATGCTAATAAATTACGATTAGAATGTTTAAAACAATTAGCTAAATAATAGAATGCATGTATCACAAGTTTGTAAGTGTATATCATGTTATACTATGTATGTAATTGTACAATATATAATATTGTACTGTAATGCTTATGGGATGTACGTTCCACGGAATAAAGAACTGAACAGAACATATACACCAGTATACTTATATGGTAAACTTTCACCTATACGATTGAGGTCCAGTCCCAAGGTCCATAATTTGAAGAAATTTGATTCTACACCTAAAAAGGAGGCCTCCCTGGGTAGTGTCTTTTCTGACTGGGTGGCTTTCGAGGAGAAGATTTTAAATCCCACCCTAATTTTACTAACTTCATAATCATCTCTCGATCCTTGAAAAGGGAAAGAGTCCTTCATTTAACAAATTTAACAAATAGTCGTTACGGTCTTACGTAACGTACCTTGTAATAACTGTACAATCTACCTTGCCAATTGCTAGTTTTTCAAGATTTTTTTCTAATATAAATTCATATACTACGGTCTGATGTTGTTCTTAGACAAAAATTAAGCATACATAACATAGGTTTTAAATAGATATCAAATGGTGAAAATTCTTGCGTTATTCATTTCCAAACGTATAGTTTTATTCTATTTATTGTTATTTCCTCAAAATTTTCTTTTATAAGAGGTGCACAACATCTTTAGGCACTATGAAACAGTCTCACAAAGTTCCTTCTATCATTGGAAGTCATCAATTATACAGGGAATAAAAAAATAAAGCTCAAAACTAATGTCCTGTATACGTATGTCCTTTGGTTCGGGGGTGCTGGGAAGAAGTAAAAAATGTGAAAGCTACGACAGATAAACAGACAGGCGACTGGCAAATTTCGATCAGTAATAGCTCACCTAAGCCTTAAACTCAGGAGAGCAAAATATTTAACATAATTTAATCAGAAGATACACATCAGGCATGTAGTACCCCCGAAACTACGTGCCTGCACATGTATGATTTTCTTGTTCCAGATTGAAAGATTATCCATCCTCTTTTTACCGAAACTGTGAAAACATATATTGATTTTTTTTCCTTTCCCAAAAGTTTTCCTCTTAAAGATTCAATGAAAACTGTAATAAAAAAAAACTTTTTTGAAATATCTTGTGGATAGCTGATAAAGGGAAAATGTATAATTTTAAGAATTGTTCCATGGCCGAGCTGGATAATTTGCAATCTAAACCACTTTGCATGGTGTCTTATGAAAACCTCAACGTAACCACTCTCTTTACAAAATATCAATCTATAATGGGAAAATTTAAAAGCAGGCACATCGTATCAGGGGGTCCCCCCTTTTTCCGTCATAACTTTTTACCATTGGAAATGTTCATTGAAAGGCTGGTTGCCCCTCTCCCCTTTTTTGTTAAATGACATCCCCCCCCCCCCCCCCCACGAAATAGAATTTTAACAATCCCTCCCTTAATTTCTTCAGGTAAGTTGTCAACCCCCCTTCCTACTTTCAGAAACGACATTATATTACAATGCAAAGTGAAAAAGCGTACATGTAATAACGCGAAAAAAAGGCGTAATTCTCAAATTGCTGGTAGCAAAACTGTGTACATGTATATGTAATACAGTGAGCTGTGTTTTTTTCCCCTGAAAAAGTCAATGTTAGCTATTAAAGGGGCTTGGACGCAGATCTGAAGTTAATATTTTCTAGAATTTTTAATATTCAATATCATGACTTATATGTTGCTAGAGCATTTCAAAATATAATAAAGGAGTGTTTAGAAACTTATTTTATCTGGATATTATTTAATGTACGAATTTCAGGACGCGTTTTATTGACACGTGTCCTTGCACTTACATGAAGTAAACTTTATCCTTAATTCTTAAAAAACTAAAAATTTTGTTGTGTATTAATGAAAAATATTAAAACTATAGTCAAGAAGATTCAAATTAGAAATGTGCGAAAGCAAAACCAAATCACCAGTATTGTCAGTTCGTGCTCAGTGATGTCTGCAGAATAACCAAATTAAACACACCTGGTAAAACGTAACTATTAACGATACATGTTCAAAGGCCGAGAGAGGCCAATGTGAGAGGTAATAATATGAGATTTAAAAAAGATATTTTGTTAATAGTCTACATGGTAATAGTGATAAAAAAACAGAGCTCGTGCCCTTTTTACGAATACAGATGTTTAACGCGATGTAAAGAAGAATGTCTTTGTCATGGAATTCTGAGAATATTCATGTAGGTTCAATTCATTACACTGAAGTTATTTTTTTTTTTAATAAACGTAGAAAATTAAAATGTAAACAATGCAACTATGACCAGGCCCCTTTAATGATGCTCAAATGACAACCATGCAGGGCCCTGAAATAATAGGACACATAAATTCTCGACAGCTAAGATTTAGCAATATTATGTCAGTGTTTTTATATATTTTTGGAAAGCTCAAGAGAATATTTAAAAAAGTAAGCAAATTACAGTACGTAGATGGTTGATATATACCCCCCCCCCCCCCCCCACACACACACACACAAACACAAAACTAGTACATGTAGTAATGATAGTAAATCTAAGCGGTCATTCATTTTTACCGGTACTTGTCTGGTAGAAAAAAATCTTTTGTTTTGAGGGAAAATAACAAAGAAAATAAAAACACGTGAGCATTATGGTCCTTAGGCCTATATTTGTACCATTTGATCCGCGCACTGAACATGCTGAACATGGATCCACCCATTCAAATATTAATGTTTTTATATTGAATAGAGTTCAGAATCAGTGAAAGTATCTCATTGTTTTTGTAATAACAAACACGGTATAATATGGTGGAAGTATTTAGAAAATAACTGGCAGATTTCGAGGATTATGTTTTACGACAACTATGAGGTTGGTGGCATTTTGCGCATGCGCAGTTCATTGTATACTTCGTAATGTTTTGAATGTAGGGCGGAAGATTAAGTGATTTTTATCCCCTTTCCTATTATTTTTTGTATTCCTCACAGGTGTTTATGATTTTTTAATAAGTACTTTGATTTTCCTTGTTGTTTGTTACGCCATTTTTGGTAAGAAATATGTGATATTTAAATGCTTATCTTTGGACGATGTACCCCCTATGCAGTTTTCATGGAGAAAATCCGAGTGCTAGCTGTCAAAGGTATTTCATCTTATTATGATGCTTCGGTACTTAGAGGGCGATTGTGCATGCTGAAAAAATGTCTTATCCTAATTCCAACGCCTATACAAATAAGCCTCCTCCTGTAGCAATACCACCGAAAATACGAAGAGAGCAGAGGCATTGGTCTCAAAGTATTAATGAGACCGTAGTGTCCACGGGGACAGGACAGGAGGATGGATTAGGGATCACGTTGTGCGGTGGGGCGGATAATGGACAGTTCGTGTGGATAGAGACTATAAAGTCTGACCAGCTTACATATCATAGTGGAAAACTTTACACCGATGATCTGATATTAGAAATACAGGGACAGAAAATTGCAGGATACACCTTGAGAGATGCTAATATTTGGTTAAAACAGGTCAGCCAGAATGGTGCACCTGTAATGATAAAAAGTATTAAAATAGGTAAGACTTTGCTTGATGATATAGCATTGTGTTTTGTTTACAAAAATGTACTGTTATATGTTTCATTAAAATGATATTGTCCTGTGGACCTGGTTTAAGGTTAGAATTAGTTAGAATAATCTAACTGTGTCTTGGGACAAGCCCTCACCACAGTCAGAATATGTCCCATATAGTTGCAGTGTAGAAATTGGAGCAGATCCGCTCCAAAATAATTTTGAAGAATACAAAAAGGAGTTGCACTGAAAATAACTACCAAATTAATCATAAAGAACCTTTTTGAGATTGTATATGCCTTTTCACCTAAAAAATAATCCATATTAAGATGAAAATTCAACTCATTTTCTCAACGTTTTTTCTCGCTTCAAATTTACATGCCATGGCAGGGTTTTTTTTAGGGGTCGTAGGGGGCCTGAAATAGACCCCATTCCCAATGGTAAAAAGTGTGTGTTTTTCTCAATTTCATCAAAGAAAATTCCCAAAAGATGATTTGAAGCATGACATTAAAGTCAAATAATTCTAAATATTATAGAAAGAAAAGCAATTTCAAGTTAAACTGATTTTCAATAAGATTTATTAAATGTAAATAAGTCAATAAATGCCTTACAAGTAAGGAAATGGCTCTTATTTGAATTTTTTCTAGAAAAATGTGAATTATGATATTTTTCCCAATTTTAATTAAATGTTGCTAATTTTTCCCTAATGGAAAGGCCCAGGCCCTTGATTTTAAGACCTAAAAAAAACCTGCATGGTGACATTCCTCACTCTCTGACTTGTTCATAGTAAATGCACTGAGTTAGAGTTATCGCCCGTGTTTATTTTGCTACATTTCCAATACACGGAACAAATTCTATAGTTAAACCGAGCCTGTAGGACAATATCATTTTAATGTAAGATAGAATGTTCTGTCTACATGGTCTAGGTTAGAATTTGTTCGGTGTATTGGCAGTGTAGCAAAGTAAAGGGCAGATAATTCTAATTTACAAGTATACTATGAACAGTGCAGAAAGGTCCAAATGTCAACATGGTTATAATTTGAAGTGAGAAAAAAAACATAACAATGTGTTGAATTTTTCCTAGTGGTGTTCCGATCATCGATTATAATCCAAAATCGTCTGATTGCTGGCATAATCCAAGTGCTCGATTACAAAATTTTTATTCCGATTAATCAGGTTATATTTTTTTAGTTTACAAACGTAATAGTTTTTAAGCCGAATATTCCAGCCGCGACGTATCTATTAACTTATTTGCATATCATAATGGCACAGACAAACAGCATTCATACCTGGGTAACAACGCTCATTCCCGGGTATGGATGAACTATGGATTCTTCAAATTGAAAGAAGAACCATCTGGACAACCACAGAAAGTAGTTATTCTCCCATTCTTACCATTTGATAAACTTTAATAATTGAAAGACTTTGTAAATGTCCAATTATAATTGATAATTAGTTAGTCACAGCAGCCGATTATCGATTATGAAATTCTTACTGATTCCTATCACTAATTTTTCCTTTATATCGATAAAATTTTGAGGTGGAAGGTATATACAAACTCAAAAGTATTTGTTATGATTAATTTGATCACTGTTATCCCCTTGCAACAAAGTTGGAGGTGATATAGTAACATGCTTGTGAGTAAGCTTCTGGATCAATGTGCTCTTTTGCGAGGGGATGCTCTGCATTGCAGTGCCCTTGTTTTCATTGCAACTCCATTTGCATTTTCCAAAATTGTGCCTGAGCAGATCCACTCCATTCTGATAAAATGAATCCATATAAGACATATTCAAACTGTGGTGAGAGCCAATCTCGAGACTCAGATTATTCTAATTAATCTGTTTGCTGTGATAGTGAAAATCATTTGGAATACATATTCAAAGAGATTGGCAAAGGAGACATCTTTGTGTTTAGTACAGTATATATTTTGGAATGTGTACAATAAAGTCATAATATTATATAAGAAGGTTATTTTATTAATTATCATTGGCTGAAAGGACGTCACATGATAATCGTCCTTTTGTGATATGGACGCAAAAGTGTGTCCGTTGAATATGATATCACATGACTCACATTTGACTGCACCAAAGTTACGTAGAATTTGGCGTCATAATGTAAGAAGCATGTTTTTATCATTGTGATGTAATGACTGCCAAGTCTTTTCAGTTAGAATTGTTTTAGATTATTCTGATTGAGTGATTATATAATATAAATAATTGATTATGGACTTCAGTGAATGGTCAGTATGTGGTTATAAGGACCCATGTCGAGTGATATTGACCTCAGACACGGAAAATTATAGCATCCTTGCAAGCTTGGTTGCTATCACTTACTGTGTCTTTGGTCAATAACCTAGGGGTTTTTTTTAATGATTTTCCACCAGATTTACTAGTCAGGTTTTTCAGGTTTACTGCCAAAAGATCTACGTCAGTTTTTGACATCAAGATTTCCAAAGGGTTCTGTTGACCATGAACTACAGCAGACAATTCGTGATAATTTGTATCTTAGAACTGTTCCTTGTAAGTACTATAAAAAGCATTTCTAAATTCTAATGAAAGTTTATAATTGCCAAGAAACTTTCTATGATCATAGTGCATTTATGTACAAAATGTACCTGTATATTGCAGCAACGTGAATTTATAGAGTAAGACATTGTAGATTTATCCCTTCCATGATAACTGGGGTTCTGCTCTTTAGTGATGTTTTAGTTGGCAGATAATTAAATGATATTTACGAATCAATTGCTGTTACATCATTTTCACCATCAGTCTATAGCACATAAATGAACTAATTTAGAAGTTAATGAACATGTCAGAGGAACTGTAGTACAAATTTTGATTGTTTCCATCAGGTACCACTAGACAACCAAGGCCAGGGGAGGTTAATGGAGTGGACTACACATTCCTGTCTATGGAAGAGTTTAATCAGCTGGAGAAGAGTGGCTGCCTGCTAGAGAGTGGATTGTATGATGGTAAGTCAACTGTATGGGTTTGAATACACACGCTAACTCTGTCCTGAAATGAGTACACTAGAAAGGAAAACCTTGCTTGTTGTTCTCTGTACAATGTGTTTATGCAGTATTTGTACATATAAAACAGACTTTTCCCCCATAATTTTGTGTTTTAGCCAAAAGAATGACAATCAATATGTGATATAAGCAGGTGTGCTCATTCAGCAATCTTTCATTAAAGGTTTAATACAGATGTTGAGAAAACGAATTTTTCGTCTTTTTTTTTTTTTTTAAGATATTGTGACGTGATTTTTACTTTCTGATCATAAAAAGAAATTCATTTTATCACTTCTCAAGAGAAAGAAATCGTGACATGAATTCATGTGGAAGTGATAATGAGTTGACGTTCAGTGTTGCTGATCAATCCCTATTTTGCATGTAAATGTCTTCTATCTTAATTATGAGTCTGGTCAATGACCTCAGAGACTCACTGAAAAGAGGATACAACTCTCTGATTGACTGACAATGTCTTTTGAATATCAAGAAAGGTTTATTTCCATATTGAAGTAAAGAGGAAGAAAAAGCAGGAAAAAAAATCTTCTGTTTGTCTGATAAAAAAAAAGTAATTGAAAGACTTTAGATAATGTTATTTCTTTCAACATGTCAACAGGATTATTCATGTTATTATCTTTGTACAAATTCATACTTCTGGCATAGGTACTAAGGTAGCTTCAGAGCAAATAGATTGAAAATAAAATTGTTTATTTCCATAGCAAATAATTTGGGTGTGCATTAGGTGCCCAGTTTGTTTTTATCTTTTCATCATCATTTTTATGTGAGGAGATAAAGCTTAATTTTTACATAAATTGAGGGTGATTGATAGAGCTTCCTATTGATTTTTGGGTAACTTGGTCATCAATATCAAGGTCAAAAGGTCAAGATTTTGATATGAGAATGCTGATAGGCCTTGGCTTGTGATGTCTTACATGAAAACTCTATCAAAGGAAATTGATTCTAATGTTTCTTAATTACTGTTTTTTAATGTTGCATTTTTGCAGATTAGGTAGAATTTAAACCTTGCATTTTAAATGTATAAAATCAATGTTATATTTTAGGTGTTTTAAAAGTTTTTACATAAGTTTATTCACAATCTGAACAAGGAAAAGACAAAGATTGTAGATTTCATAGACATAGCAGTTTGTAATTTTATATTTTGTGGATTAAACTCTTCAAAAAGTTTTCTTCGTATCCTAAGTATAAGAAGTCTTGTTTTAGTAAAATTAAATGGCTCATACTGGTAATCATTCTGTTTTTGCTTATATAGGAAACCACTATGGTACCCCCAAGCCCCCTAGTGAACCAAAGGGAGCTAATCTTAGGAGGTCCACTTCAATGGGAGCACCATTGCCGACTAGTGGTGATGGCAAACGTCGCAGAAACAGAAGCAATACCGAGGGTGGCTCGGCTCGTACTTCACCAGTTCCCTTCCAGTTTGATGGGGAACGCAAGAAGTCCATGGAGAAATTGCAGCTTGATGCTTCATTAGGTGTATTACCTCACAACTGGGAGAAGGCATACACAGAAGATGGCACTGCTTATTATATTGAGTAAGTTTATCAGTATTAGTCTACCCTTGTTTATTAATGTGAAGGCCTATTATTTGTAAAGTACACTAAGATCAAAATTATGCCTGTATGAAATGGTATTTTACGTCAGTTAATATACATTTATTGCATGATAAAGAGGGAGACATGAAGATTTCTTCACCCATGAAAAATCATATTGCCCGAGGGGAATATGATTTTTCATGGGCGAAGAAATCTTAATGTCTCCTGAAAATTCTTGCAATAAATTGTTTATTATATCGAATCAAGCACAGGAAATATAAAGAAGATCCAATGAATAAAGTAAACATTTGATAAGAACAATACGAAACAGATGCAAGTTACACCACTAGCTGCGCTTCATAAAAAAATCTGTCGTGACAAGTCAATGTGATTTACACACTAGTAACATTCAAACCCCACCCATGAAACTCTATTCTGAATATTTTTATTTTACATGTTTGAATGGACTCAATCAATCAACGATATAAACAATCTAACTCAGTATTAACCATCTCAGTCACCGCATTGTGACATCACAATTGTGAGACACGACATGAAACACGATGTTTTGTTGAAGGGCAAACACGATGGTTATGTGACTGACTCAGCCGATCAGATTATACATGTATTTTACTAGAGATTATTTATTTGAGGTATAATAATTGGGTACAGTGCGGACTCGTTATTACGATGTTCATTTTATCATGGTAAAATATCGTAATATCGAGGGCAACGTAATAAAAGTTCCCAGTAAAATCCAGTAAAACATCGTTTTGAAAGCTTCTTGTTGTATTAGGAGGTGTATTTTTCTCCTTTTGTTTCCTTCTTCTGTTCAAATTCTTCATTAAAACGCTATATACATATAATTTATTAATAACTTATCTTGAATAGATATCTTGATGATGCTATTTCTTCTATTTCCTTCATTTTAAAAGAAATGTGCACATTTTTTATAAGAACTTCGGCAATCTTCATTTATCTGCCGCCATTTCCGTTTACTTTTACTTTCGTTTCTGTCTAGATAATGCGTTCGTAAAATTTTCAATGTCTTCGTATCGTTACTACATAAACAACAACAATACATCACTGGGCGGTTTTGGGTGTTCAATGAGCTTAGAGCTGCAGTGAACAACTCATGAAAGTGGGCAGTGTGATAGGCATATTCATGGACAGGATTTGAAAACACACAAGCTAAATGTCAAAATAAATTTGAATTTTTAAATTACTGAACAGAGTTCAATTAGCAATTTAGCAATTATCGATTTGTATTTCTGCTGACACCTGTGAGGTAGTCCAAGCCACTATCCAAGCTGTTAAAACGTTATTGGAGTTCAAATTTTGCCAAAATTATGTTTGATACCCAAGCTGTCCATTCCGCAGTTTAACTGCAAACGAAATTACACATTACGTATTTAACATACATGCATATGATTAAATGTAACCTTTTATTTAATAAATTAATTTTACTTATTAACCATAGTAAAAAAAATAAAATAAACTTAACAGAGATAGATAAACTAGAGACTTCATTTATAAATAAACAGTTTAATTGTTTAACAATGGCTTTGACACTTCTCCAATTCTGCTGACCTCGCTAGAACAGTCAAGGTGTGTGCAGTCAAGCGTCACTAATCACCTAACGGCCCTGCAAATTAACACTCTGTCAGAGCACAGGTGTTTCAATGTTTATTTAGCATCTCCTTAAGTGTCTACCGTCGATCAACACTGAATAAACACGGAGTGAAAAAAAATTTTGGACAGAATTTTTACATCGTAATACCGAGTCCTGGCATTTAAGGACATCGTAATAAACAGTTCTATTTTGTATAGATTTGTTAAGAAATGGTTTTGTGCTTTGAATTTACAACGTAATAAGCGTTCTATCTTATAAAACCGTCACCGTAAAAACGAGTCCGCACTGTATGTTAATTAGGTTGTCATTGTATTGATATTTGTTGCCTTGTTGGGAGACACAACATGGTCCCCAATAGGGGTGCAATGATACGCCTACCCCATGATATGTATCACGGTATTCATTTCACGATACAATGTGTATCACGATACATGACATATTAGGTTAAGAAGTCTGATGTTTTTCATCATACATTTTTTTTTAAACTTAACAATTTTATCAATGTTCAAACTTTTTTTAAAAAAAAAAAAAAAATATCAAAAGGGTACTAGTTGACTGGATACACTGGATTCAGACTTCCAATAATTTATAAAAAGAAGACCTTTCTTAATATTTTTTTCTTTTTGACTGGAATGAAAAAGGAAAACAGGCATTCTTTTATTCCTTTTATTTACATATAAAACCAGTTGTAATAATTCGTGTTCACACATTCTCTAGTCAGCAAATTTTCATCGAAACAAGTACACACATGATGAGATATTGTGTATTACCGTATAAGGCTATTGGATCTAAAGACTTTATCACTTGCCTTAACATCTATAACTTTTAATAACACTAGGAAAGTGAAAACATCCTTCACCCTGTTAAATATGAGGTATATAATATGCTGGAGACAAGTTTAACTGCCGTTTCTGCAATTTCATCGACCTCATGTTTTGTGCGGAAGCCATTTTAAAATTGTAAACAAGGAACCAAAACGGTCAATTCTGATAATTATGGACCGATTGAACCGAACCGTGATATCAGTTTAACGTATCGTGAATTGAACCGTGGAAAAATTAACCACGATATACCGTAAAACGGTTTATCGTTGCACTCTTAGTGGCCAATACCGACCAATAATGTATAGTAAATTTTTGGTTGGTGATGGTAATTCAGTATCATGAGCTTAATTTTTATAATGGGAAAATTTTCATATAACTGTCCACCAAAAATGGTTCCCCACTAAATTTGTCAGTTACATAAGACATTTACAGTGATAATGGTATCTGTGGCAAGTAAACAAATGTAAATTGTTTGTTTTATTTCTCAAAGGAAATGTACATTTAGTAGTGCATTTGCACTATTGGCAATATAATGTGTTTAAATCATGGTGACAGACTCTTATGTTCTCTAATATCACAGTAATAGTTGTGATTTTTATTCTTTCAGTCACAGCTCAGAAACAACTCACTGGTTGGATCCCCGTCTAGCAAAGCTACAGAAACAACAGGCAGGGGATTGTCAGGATAATGGTATGTCTAGGGGGATTTTTATTAGGGGTCAAACATTGGGCATAAGTACTATTACCGTTGTAGAGTCGTAAGCTATATTCTCAGCCTAAAGTGGAAGACAATTTTCAGGAACTCAAAGCAGGGATATGAAATTGAGAGGGAATTACAGCAAGATTTACTTGACATGATTAAGTTTCTAAGAATGATATATACTTGTGATGAATGAAAAATAAAATTAAAAATAAAATCAATATGAAATTCAAGGCAAAAGCATTTAGGAAGGTGTGAAATAAGATACCAGTGTATATTGTATAATATACAGTGTACGATATGTTACTGTACAAGCCAATAAAGTTAAGAATTTTCTTTGAAGACTTACCCTTTAAAGGGATGTATATGTGTTTGTTTTGTTTTTTGTGACAAAACTTATATTTTTTTATTACATGTATGTGTATCGTATTCCCTAGGTTTGATCCTGGAGTAATTTTTGTTTTATAATTGGCCTTGGTCACTGCATAGTTTGTGGGTCACGTCTGTGTGTATTTTCCTTTTTTTTTTTTTTTTTTTTTTTTTTTTTTTTTTTTTGGGCATTTAGCCCATTTGAGAACTGTGGAAATCTTACAAGAATTTGATGACCTTGATCTGTTGACCTTAAATCCACACTCATCCAACTTACTACATTTCATCCATTTTCTTGAAAGAAAGAATACCTTAGATTATCTTATACTCTGCGGGGCTTTCAAAAAGATTAGAAACAGGTGTTACTTTTACAAAAATGGGAGGTACCTTGTAATTTTAAGTAATACTATCAATTTTTCTCCAAATATTTGGCTGGTACAATCATGATTTCAGCTGGGTAAAAGTACTGGGTACACGCAGATTTTGAAAGGCCTGTATACTCGTAGTGTTACCCTGTTTCGTCATTCCGTCATCATTCACTTTCGGTTCATTATCTCTGCAACAGTTGCACACATTCAACTCAAATTTGACATACGGATACATCTTAGGAATACGCATTTGGTTGAGATTTTTGACAGAGTTATCCCTCTTGAACTTAGAAAAAAACAAGAAATTTTCAGTTTCCGCTCTCTTACTTTTGTAGGGATGTATATTGCATATGTAGGTATTTTACTAGAAAATACAGGTCAAGCTCAAATTTGGTCATGGTCTGATGATTTTTGACAGAGTTTTCCCTCTTGAACTTAGAAAAAAAAAAGAAGAAATTTTCAGTATCAGCTCTCTAAACTTCTGTAGGGATGAATGTATACAGTTGATATTGCATATGCAGGTATTTTACCAGAAAATACAGGTCAAGTTTGAATATGGTCATGGTCAGATGATTTTTGACAGAGTTATTCCTCTTGAACTTAGAAAAAAAAAAAGAAATTTTCAGTATCCGCTCTCTAACTTTTGTAGGGATGTATGTATAAGGTTGAAATTGCATATGCAGGTATTTTACCAGAAAATACAGGTTTGAATATAGACATGGACCGATGATTTTTGACAGAGTTATCCCTCTTGAGCTTAGAAAAAAAATAAGAAAATTTCAGTTGTCGGGATGTATGTATAAGGTTGAAATTGAATGTGCAGATATTTTACCAGAGTTTGAATTTGGTCCTGGTCCGATGACTTCCTGCTAGAACTTAGAAAAGATTTCAAGATTCACAATTTCTAATCATTATCTCAATAACAAATATGCAACTTGCAATTTGTAGCGTTTCTACACATCTATTTTTTTTTTTTTTTTTTTTTTTTGAAAAAGGCAAGTAATTTCCTAGGTCTAGAAGATCATGAGCAGGGCTTGCAACTTTTACTAGCAGTCAGCCCTGCATGTCTAGCTAATTTTATCGACTGTTCCTAACAATGTCAACTTACAGTTATTCCAAACAGTGATTAGGTGGGTGTAAGAATGTTTTGCATTATGAGAAGAAAATGCCTCAGATCTTAGATTAAACATACTTTGTCAACTACATCAGATGGAAAATAATTGTGATTCATTATTGATGTTGATGATGTAAACAGCCACTGTGTATAGTGCTAATTTTACAGCATACATGCACTTTGTGTGATTAACTGAACATGATATTATAAAAATACCCTGTGGGGGAGGTTTTGCAATAGACAGTGGGGGAGGTTTTGAAATAGACAGATATTGGTGAATAATTGGTCAAACAGTAATGAGCTTTTTCTTGGGTGGGAAACAGGGAAAGAACACTAGTTTTATGCAAAATAAACACTCATTTTACAGTTTCATGATAAAATTTGTGGTTTTATAATGAAACTCTACCAATCATTTCATTTTGTTTGCTGTAGACCAATAATCATTATTAACAAAATCAAATTTCTTTGTAGGTAGAAATCATGATTACGTAATCCGTCATATTTTAAAATTTTAATCTAGAGTGTACTAGGATCAATAATGTTTCAGTCAATTTCCTAATGATATCCAGATGCATATGAAATTTCGATATAACAAATTCAGGTTTTAAATTAGATATGAAAGTTAAAGTTTCATTGTTTAAATATAGGTACTCATACATATCCGCGCTACAAGCGAACAGGTAAGGATTTTTCTCTGAACACCTTAAACTGCCGACTGCGCCTTTTCTCACTGCGTCCCACAGTCACTGTGTATTTCATGATTCAGTTCATTTTCCTCCTCACTGCGACCCACTGTGTATAAAAATAATTTTTCATTCAGTGCATGTTCACCCTCCTTTTTGTTAACAAAGCACATAATTTTTTGGAAATAGTGGAGAGAAAATACATGCACCAAGACTGTCTCGTTTTGAAGGAAGAGTTATTCCTCTTTGTCTAGCTTTGAAAAAAAAAAGGTTACCAATATAATGTTGCTTTTCTCAGCTGTATTTTCCTTTTTCTGAAAATTTATACTTTTATTTAACATGAAGATTACAACCTTGCATGAAACTTAAAGATGCATTGCCTTTTAATTATGCTGCAGTTTTAATTTAACCCTAAAAAAAATTGACTTGGAAAATAAATCTTTGAGTCTTTATCATGTTTACACTGATTACCTTTTGGATAAACACTAATTATGATATTTGACCATTGAATAATACAGTTTAAACTTGCGCTGCACTGTGTATCATCCGTGTTTACACCTCAGTCCTGTTATCCAAGCATACACTATCTACCTTTCATACCTGTATTATGTAATTTATATGACAGTCTGTAATACTGAGTCTGTGATCAGATGATTGAAGTTGTATTGAATATGTATTTTATCTCTTTTACCTTTGTCTTTGTCCATTTTATCAGCTTTTATTACATAAATCTATCCGTAAACTTACTTGTATCATGATGGGAATTTAAGTAAAGGTATAGTTAAAAGGGGGGAAGGAGGGAGGATATTAATGTCTTAAACAGGGGTACTTATTTACAAGCTCATGTTTTTCTGAATCAGATATATTTCACCTTTTAATTAGTTGATTCTCTCTTTATTTTGTCATCTCATTTAGAATTCATAGATTTTTTCCCCCTATAATTAATTCTTTCTGTGGAGGAACATTCTTCGTGTGTCATGCAAATATGACAGCATATATAGATAATTGGAATACTGTGGCATACTCTGTGTGTTGTTTTTATCTTTGTCATCTGGGCTTCTGGGAGAAAAGCTTGCATGTGATCTCTGTTTTTGTGATGTGATGAGTATTGCCACACTGTCATGCATGTAAAACTAGAATTCAGCTGTGTTCTCTTACACATATGGTTGGTGTCTGTTTTTGAGGATTTTGTCACAATCAATTTATTGACTGATGTTCCTTTGGCAGGATGAAACACAGATATTTTTTTACAGTGTTAATTAAGCTGTCATATTAACAAGAATGGTCCAATACACAGAAGTTTCAGTTTATCAATTAGATGGCTTTGATCTACAGAGATCATTAGCAGTGTAAATTTAATTAATTGAATGAACAATTGAGGGAGAATGGGGGCAACTTATTATACTTAAAAGTTTTTATTGAGAAATTAAGCTCAAATTTATAATTCAAAAGGAAACAATGAAAACTTTTACAGTGAAGTATCTTGTATATATAGTTGAACTTTGGTATCTCCAACACGGATATCTCAAATACATTGGATATGTTGAAGTGATTTTCTTTAAGTATTTTACCCTCAATACCTTGAATCCAAGGATATCTTGAAGTTTTTTCTCAGTCTCATCAAGTTTGAGATAACGAGGTTTGACTGTATATGCATTTCTCAGCCCTCATTCCATCTTCAGAAAATCAAGGAATAAATGCTGTCCGCGTCTCCAAGTTGTCATGATGTGTACTAGACATCATTTAGTGTTTCTGAAAGTTTGCAAACTTTCACAGACATAAATGACATAATGAAATACTAATGGTAGTGGTTTGTGATGACATGAAAGATTATCTTTACCATATGTGTAAAAAATGCAACTTTTTTCTTGTTTGGGAGGCGGGAGAGGGAGTCTTATTTTGAATAATGTATATTTCAAACATTAAAGAATCAAACTAGAAAATAAATAATTAGCAACATAATCTTTTGAAGTAAATAAATTCTAACATAACATTTCTTAAAGTTAATTATTTTTGTTTATTGACTCAATAATCCAGGTTTACCTTTGTCGGGACCTATGTTTACATTGGCTTGAGACTTTAAGGCATTTTCTTTTAAAACTCCTCACAAAGAGAAGGATGTTTAAGTCATTGATTTTGACATAATCAATGAGCAACTCTCTCCCTCCGCTATTAAAATTCATAGATCCCCAAGTCCTGCCTTATAGGGAGACAAAAAAAACCTAGTGGTTCATGTATAGATTTTTTAGAGATATCGAGTGGGTCACATTGGTGTTTTCTATTGTCAAGGGACAGATGCTGAGTGGCCTGGATGGGAAGGTTTTCTCATTTGTTTTAATTGAATGAACCTGACTGAAATGTTATGAGTGGATACACTTTTGTGGGCTTGAAGAGGAAAAGGGTCATTAAGACTATGAATTTGAAACATGTGAAAGGCCCCCCAATATTGATGAGGAGATGTTTGGATATGCAATGCTTAACAATGAGCTGAACTGAATGTAAATGTAAACAAATTTCCCATATTGTATACACCTTCAACTTGCCATTTGGAGCTTGGATTTTATTTGATAACCCCAGAAGATGGTTGTCATACAGACTACTGCCATGTTGAAAAGAAGCCAACCAAATTTACACTTAGATTTGAAAAAAGTTTATGAATCCAAAGAGTCGCTCATTAAGTCTCCAGTTTTGCCTATGTTTCCACACGGGGGATGTGAGAAGCATCGGAATAATGAAGATTGTAGGTGTCAAGTGGTTTTCAGGGCTTGTAAAGGTAGGAAAATAAACAGTTTTGGAACTGTTTCTTTTTCAGATGTTAAACAAATGTAAATTTTTTTTTTTTTTTTTTTTTTTCATAGAAATGATGTATAAATCTTAACATTTCTAATTTGAATTTTGTTTAAAAAAAATTGAGTAGGGAGGGTGGGGAGGGGGGGGACAAAATATTATTTAATTATTTACTAAAGCAATTCTATCTGTAATCTTTATATTTACATGTAAAATTGCTGCATGTTTTCTGTCCATTTTTCGTTTTTGGGATGATTTGACTCTGCAGATATCTGCCTTCAGTATGTTGCTCACTTGTTTCAAAAAGAAATATTTTGGACAGTTCATTTTTGTGTTTTAACCTTCAGAGTGAATAACCTATCTTCTTTTTAACTGAAAATTGTGTTTTCAAATTGTCTTCAAATTTAATGTTACTGTAATCATAGTACATAATGGGAGGAGAAATTGCTTGTAAATGTAGCAATTTTCTGAAAAATTTGTATGACTGCCACAGCAAAAAAAAAAAGTTGATTATATATGAGTTGTAATAGACATTATCTAAGGCTACATCTCTGCCAGTTTTTCTAGCTGCTGTTTATCTCAATATACAATCCCCCATGTGTTGTACTCCTCCCCAAGTCATTCTTACAGTGAGGATGTTTTAAGTTTTCCTCCAGTGAGAGAGGGAAAATAAACCTTTATTTTTGTGAATTTTTTGCTTGGTCTGAAAATTTGTGAGGAAATTGAAAACAATTGGTAAGTTTTTTTTACTAGCCTGCAAGACTTCTTGTTTAATTCTTTTTTTTATGCCATTTATCTTGTGGTGTGTTTACTTTCATCAAGTATTTGGAGGTGATAAAAATGGAAACCAGCTAGCTCAACATCTTGAGCAAATGTTCCATATGTTTTAAGCTTAGAGAAAAGAAAAAGAAAAATAATCCTGGATAATGTTTCTTAATACATGTACATAGATTTAGTTTTTATAATCTGACCTAATAATATGAATGTGATGGGCAGCTACAAGACAATGTTTTCACTTCTATTAATATGTTATGTATACATATGTCAATATGAGATCAAACAAGGGTAATGTTAGATTATAGCCTAGAGTGACGCCTCATTATAGGATGATGGCTGAGAAAAGCCTAGCCCTGACTAATTGGACAATTTGAACTGGTGGGGCTAATTACCCCCTGCTACAGATTAAGGTGACCCTGAAGCCAGTGATAAATCAGTTGGTGGTCATTGATTTTCCTTTGTGTGGTTGCTTCATGGTCACTCCACTGCAGATGGTTATAGAAAAAATTTCCAATTTTCTTGCGTCCTCTGTGTGTTTTGTGTGTATGATGGTTCCTACAGCACATATTGCTGTCTCTCTTTTGAAGATGCTCTGTTTGTTAGGATTATTTTACCATGGAGGCCATCTGATTCTATTTTGAGAGGAAATCAGTTTAATTCAAAGAGATAAAGGATTTTTTTCCCTCTCCTATCTATGTGTGCAAGAGAGGATGTGGGTTTTATGTGCAGGGATTTAGACTAGCTAGCGGCATGGATAGAAGGTTGAAAAAGTTCTTTGTCAGACGCTTTGTTAACCAGCTTCGCCAGCTTCTGTATGTGTCTACAAGGCTATTGCAGGAAGGTGACACAAATTCTGGAAGTATGTACTAACACTGAGTCAGGATGTTTATAAGGAGCCATTCTGCTTCAATCTCTTTAGATTTTCATCTTTGAGGGCACTTTGCCGCCTTCAAAAAAAAACCACATGTCAAGTAATAATTTGTGAAAATGATTGATTTTTTAAGAAGATAAGCCCCAACAGGATATTATAAAAAAGAGGTCATTACAGCCATCAAATGCTTTGTTTACAGAGTAAGGCTTTGCATTTTGCAGGTGTACCCCAAGAAATGAAAATACATTATCGCATTGTTGAGCTTTTAGAAAATCTTTTAATGATAAAAATATAGATTATAATATCTGCAAAGGAAATTGGATTGGCTCCAGGTACAAAAGCTGCCCGGCAAATCGGCAGCATTTTTTGTACTCAGAATTCTGATGTGTGTGTTTATATATTCAGAAAATTTTTGTTCATTGTTTTAGAGCTTCCATATGGCTGGGAGAAAGTGGAGGACCCCCACTATGGAACTTATTACATAGAGTGAGTATAACTGAACTTCATTCATGTTTCCTAATCATTTTCTTTTGCCGGAAAGAATTTTGCATGTGTGGAAGGGTAAGTTCTATATTCTAAAATATCACTGATAACCTATCAGCAATTTTCTTCAGAATCGTTCCCTGATATTCAGTAATTTTAGTTATGAACAATGAACTTCTTAAAACTTATCTAGTTTAAATCTTGACCAACCAACCCTGGATTATTTGTTGACCTCAGAGATGGAGTTCAGCAGATGCTGGGGAGGATGTTTATTATGTGTGAGGCTGATGGCATTGTGAAACTCCACTGCTTCATCTAAATGTTTTTCTGGCAGATTTCTGGCAGTGCACTACACATGTGTATTAATCAGTCAGATTATTCACACATACATCAAATTTTTTTCTCACACTGGCATTCTCATCTCTTTTGCAGCCATGTAAACAGAAGAACTCAGTATGAAAATCCTGTGGCACAGGCTAAACGACAAAACCAGGGTAAGTATGGAAAGGTGGTGATAATCAGGTTAAGAGATAAGAATGCATGTTAAACTGTTTACATGGTTTAGGTTAAGTGCTCTCAAAAACAGACAGGACAAATTTTGAATGCATTAGTGCAGGCCAGGCAGGTCAAAGTTTTAGAATGACTTTTGGTTGGCCAAGCTTGAAATATCTGCTTCCTCCTTGCTTGTATTTATTTAGAATATCTTTTGATTATAATACCTACATCATTGATAATTAATAGGTAATAAAAGTCAATGGCTTAGGATAATTGTAAACAAAAACAGACAGAACATGTTAGTATACTTTGTAGTGTTGGCTTCTTGGCCAAATATGTGGCCCTGTAGATGCCATTTACTTGAAACCAAAAGATATTCACACTGATTTGAGTTAAGCCATGAAGCTAATAAAGTTAATCTTATACCCAATTTTTGTGGATGAGAATCAAAATTTCTACCATGATGAAGATCATTTTAGTGCAGGTCAAACCCAGACTTTGGAGCTTTTACCCAGTTTTTGACTGTGCTTATAAATCTACTTCTTTATTTAAAAACATTATAAATTATTTTAGATCATCTTTTGTTGTTTTGAATTATGGTAGTACTATTGCTAAATCAAGTGTATTAATATATTGTTCATGTTACCGGTACTTTAAAATTACCCCCCCCCCCCCCCCAAAAAAAAAAATTGTTAGGAGTATAAGTCTTATGACCTCTTAACCAAAAACTTCTGATACTGGGCATTTCAATTAAATCATGAATTTTATTACGAAGAATGCCAAGGATATTATTGTGTGGTGGATTATCTTCCCAGCATGCTAATTTTTAGGGTTCATTCTAGATAATATTCCAAAATTAATATCTAAAGAACCTTACACTTGCTAAAAGAAAGAATTGCCAAAATTGAGACTCAATTTTTATGTACCAGATTGTATTTAGCAAAATCCTATCTATGAAATTGATAATATCTATCCAACTGTTGGCATCAATAGTTGTATTTTTATCTGTCAGGCTGTTATGGGTGACCCAATCAAAGTAGATTCAGATTTACACATTTGTAAAGCAGGGTAAATATGCCATTAAAGTTGACCTTGGCATTGAGTTTTACTGTGAGATTACATGGATTAGTTAATGAAAAATCTTTATATCAGTGTTAAGATGGCATCTGCTTACCAATTCCGTCTAATGTCACAGTGGAATGAATTATATGTACTATACAATTAGAAACTGGTGAGGTGTTTGTTACATTGTCATCAGAGTTGTCTTAGGCCTTGAACTTTGACCTTAAAAAAATGGGAAATTGTGTGCTTTAACCTCTGTTGTGGGTTACCTTTAATAAAAATCAACAAATTTTATGGATAAAGATGCAATGTTGATGATACAGAGGTGGATGCTGTCTTCACCCTGACTTTTGAATTGGTGAAATTTATTTAATTCTTAGTGTAATGAGCGGAAAATTAAGAATTATATGGTCATGTTGACTTAAGTGAATTCTAATTCTACTACCCAAAATATCTTTGCTCTGTAGTAACTTGAAACTAGCTTGTGAGAAGTTTTTAAACAGTAAACTTTGATAAGATTGACAACTGTTCTATATTATGGGATTTCAATTCTTCACAGGCACTGATGTGATCAGCACACTACCTCGAACCAAGAAAAGCCAGGATACAGCTAACACCACGAAACGCTCCATCAGCGACAACAACATGAATGGGAGAGCACCGCCTGGTAATGTATCCCACAATTCACTGGATTCCCTCCCTTGCCTACTGTGATTTACAAGAGCTTTGTTCGTGTCATAATTGCAAAAGCAAAAAAAAAAACTTGCTTAGTTTGACTGCATTTTCTAATCAGGAGATTTACTATGTGAAGCAGATGTAGTGAATTAATCCAAAAATATTAAATATACTGGTAATATTTTTAATCCAGATAATGATTGTTGTTTTTCTGTTAAAAGTTTGGACCATATTTCATTTTTAACCAAACAAAAAAAATCACAATGAATGTGAAGAAAAGATATCACAAAGCAGTTGCATGTGTAGAGATTGACATAAACCATGATCAAACCTTTGTCAAAATGGACAATTGAGACAACTGAATTAAATGCAGATTAATTTTAAGAAAATAATTTATTATGGTCACTTTTAACCTGCTGCATTTTAGAGCCATTGGATAATGGGTATTGTCAGTGTAGGTCATTAGTGAGTGTTCTGTTGTGTTTTGCATGGTGAATTCCACTTATGCCTTCTCTAGACTAGTGTGTGTAATTTGGCATGTGTTTGTTTACAGACTACCATCAGCTGGGCAGGGGAAACAGAAAAAGAGGTTGGATTTGTTTACTAATACTCCACACTCTGCACATAGATAATGTGGTGCCATATTTTATGTGAATTCAGGCACATTTATTCTCCCAAAGTAATAATTTACATGATTACACTAATAGAAAAATGAAACTATAGCAAATTTAAGATAATCATGATAATGGGAAACTGTTTTCCACTATTCTCAGATTTATTTTAATTGTGAGAAAATGTTTGCATGTAAATGTATATCCAGTCATTTACAGAATAATAAACCAACAAGCCTGCCCTTCCCTATAATGCTAGTAGCTTATGTATGATTAAGTCAACCCAGAAACCAGCATGTTTGTTAACATACATCTGTCATCAAAAATGGCTAATTTACTTTAATGAAGGCAGCAGAATCTAATTTATTAAAGCTGAATGACTCTAGAATGGGCTCCAATGTTCAATGTTGAATGTTGATTTTTGAAGAGAGACGGGTCTTTACCAAGAACCCTGCTGAGTTGAAAGGGGAGATAATCACTACAACGTTAGTAAAAAGCACCAGGGGCTTTGGGTTCACCATTATTGGGGGAGATCACACAGATGAAGAATTCCTACAAATCAAAAAAGTGGTAGAAAATGGACCAGCGCATCTTGACGGCACCTTACAGACGGGTAAGGAGTTAGGGTGATGTTTAATATGTACCCGTGTATGCCTTTGGCATCGAAAACTTAGATTACAGACTTGTTGTACAGTTTATGTCAGTTAATTGTCAGCTCTGCTGAGAAAATTTTATATAGCTAGGTTACTGGTAATAGGTTAGTAGTCTGAGGTCATAGATATTTAGCAGGATCAAGGACAATTGTAAAAATAAAAGTTTTATACTGGATTAATGAAGGAAAAATGCAGGTACACTGTATATTATTTTCAAAGAAATCATAACAGTTTGTTTTTTTTACTTTAAAAAAAAATTTGGAGGGGGGAGGGCATTTTGTATTAATAGATTAGTATAATTTTAAATAGAAGATCTAAAAAAAAAAATTAAAACATCAGACATTTTCTTTATGTACTCCACAGTATGGAGGAGTGTTTTACAGTCTTTTAATTGGCACTTAAGTCTGCAGTGCATGTATTTTGTAATCTGTAGCAGGTGTCTGCTTTCATTGAGGCATGTGTCATGGATTTCAGATTAACTTACATGGCTCAATAACATCTCAACATACACCTTGTTTTCCTTCATATGTATATTGCAGCTGTTGAAGGATATATAAATGTCAGTCTTTTTTTAAAATGTACAATTTTTATGAAGAAATGGAAATCTTTGTTTGATTATGGAGGTCTGATTTTTTATTGTAATATAAATATTACAAAGTCTTTTTCAAATCTAAAATATACTTGCACTTTGATTTATCAAATGTTGATAAAATATTTTTGCAAGCCTTTATCTCAGATGTGAACTTTAAGAGATAAAAATGCTTTGCCGTAAGCAGATTGAGTCACTGACAAAAGATTATCTTCTTAAAAACACCTGCACTCCATTGAATATTATCATTACATATTATAAAATATTATTTCTGAATATGCAGATATACGTATGTAGACTTACTCCTATTTATATAACTTCTAGATATGCAGGATTGTGATATCGCATTGAATTCTGTTTCAATAATTGCATTTCAGGTGATGTTCTGGTGAATGTGTGTGATCGTTGTGTGTTAGGATATTCTCATCAGGACATTGTTAATCTGTTTCAAACAATCCCCGCGGGACAGAGTGTTACATTAACTGTGTGTCGAGGTTATCCCTTGCCATTTGACCCCGACGACCCCAACACAGAGATCATTGTGACTGTGGCAGTGACCTTACCTAATGATTCTAATGTTAATCAGTCTCCGCCAAGTTACTCCTATTTTCAGGAGACACACGGACATCATGATCAGCACAACACGTCAGCGAAGAGCATGAAATCTTTGCCCGATCTGACACGATCAGCTAATATACCGCTAAGTCCTAATTCCCAGAGTCAACCCAATGGAACCGGAGATGCACCGGATGTGCTGGGTATTCAGAAACCAGAAATTCTTTCTATTAATATTGTGAGGGGGGAGATGGGGTTTGGGTTTACAATAGCAGACAGTGTGTATGGACAGAAAGTGAAACAAATTCTGGATAAACCCCGCTGTAAAAACCTCCAGGAGGGGGACATTTTAGTGAAGATTAATGACACGAATGTTCAAGAAATGGTACATTCGGATATTGTACAGGTGTTAAAGGAGTGTCCTAAAAGTGTAGAGTCCAGGATAACTATCCAAAGAGGAGGTAGGCAGTTTGAGATGAACTTGCTCCTATATTTGTGGTTTTTGCTGCTCAAATATATCTTAACCGTTTTTAAGTGTGCTTTATGATTAATGTCATCATGCAAGAGTAATTATGATAAGATTAGAATATGCACAGCATACATCTTTAAGGAACTGTGAATGAACAAGTTTGTGCTATACCTTAAATGATCAGAACTTTTTAAGTTTTGAAAGTTCAGAGTTCTGCTTGTGTTTGCCAAAGCCAAATGTAGAGTCTGAAAAGTCAGTGTTTGTGTACTTTAATAGTCCTTTTCAAAATTTTCAATAAAGGCAAAAAAATGCTCAATACAATTTGAAAAGTTGAAAATCCTCTCTGTTTGGAGATTTGGTTACGATAAGAGAGAGGTTACAATATACATGGTATAAGAAATAACATGTTTGCTGTACTTTGTTTTACACTAATATACAACATACCAAATCCTATGTTATTGAACAAGTTTTATAGCACTACAGAAGGCTATCTCTGTGAAATAAAAAATATAAGTTTACCTGAAAAAATATTAAAGTGTAAGAAAATTTAGTGTTAGTTTCATGTCATTTGATTTGAAAAAAAAGGTATATTAAAAGTTCTATAATTTATTTAATACACATTGTTAGAACTTGTTGTTGAGCTAGTGATTATAAGTAAAATCTTAAATGTATTTCTTCCATTTTAGGACTTCCCGCTAAAGTGAAGAAAGCGTCACGATCTTCAGTAAGTAGGACCTTTTCCCTACCTTTATCTAAACTACTTAATGTGTCAACTAAGCAGAGTAAATCTTCCTTTGTTAGCATCACAAGCCAGCATTTCATTTCCTCTGTAACTTACATCACTTACGGTTTTGGCAACAATGTGCCAGCAATATGTGTGTGAAATCTCTTATTCTTATATTCTAGCCTCGTTCATTGGAGGAAAGCAAGGCAAATAATGCTTCAGACACAAGTTTTAGCAGCAATAACCCACCCGGACATTACTTCTTCGAAAACCATTCCCACAATACAGGTAAGAGCAATTGTGCATGTAAGACAGAACATCTCCTTATATAATACTTGATTCAGTGAAAGAGATCTAAAGGTTGAGGAATGAAAGTATGAAATAATCGTATGATTGACACAGGTTATTTCTCTTTAGAGCTTACACTGTTCTTGTTTTTGGAGGTTTTATGTGGTGAAAATCTTGTAGAAATACTTGAAAAAGATGATTATACATTTTAGATGAAAGAGCACTTCCTTATTCAACAAGTAGATGCTTTCTTTCTTTTCTTTTTTTTTTTTTTGTTTAAATTGGGAAGAACTGTTGCAACATTGCAGAAAAATTGCATAACCTGCATAAGTGGATTCTGCAATTTTTTTCTGCAATGATTGCAACCATTCATCCCCATTTAAACGAAGAAAGAAAGCATTTTATTGTTCATTTCATATCTGTATAAATTATTCATTAAAAGTGGATGATAGTATTTTAAATTGTGGTATGATTAAACTGAAGTTATACTGATGGAGGAATCATGAATTAGTTGACCTTTTACACTTCTGTAGAAATCTGTCATACAAATGAATTTTAAAAACCAGATTTAAGTACAGGTACTTAGAAGTTGGTAGTATTTTATTGATTGATCAAATCCAATCAGTTTTCATATAAATTAAAAGGGGAAAATATTCAGTGGATTTAAATAGTATCATGTGAAAGTGCTTTGTACTGCTCGTGACTGCTTAATTAGAATTGTATGTTGATGTTTTTTTTTTGTTATTTTTTTTTTTTTTTTTTTTTTTAACATCCATGATGGTTTGCAAAGGAGAACTCAAATCAATAACAGGGAATTGAAATTAAAAAAAAAAAAATCACCAGTTCCAACCAGAACAATTCAAATGCAATGTACTACCCTGTTTCCATGGCATTTGGATTTGATATTGCATTGAGGTAGTGAAGATCTAATAAGTTGTTTCAGATCTCTAGTAGCTGTTGAGTAATGGTTTATACTGTGAGGTTATTGCTAGCTTGTCTTACATACGGATGAAGTGCGAATTCATTTTAAATTGTGTATTTTAAGTATGGTAAGTTCAGTTTTACTTATTGTTTGCATTTAAAGGTGCATGTTAACATGGTTAACAAATATGTTTATAACGAATTTATGTACATGTATGATGTATTATATATGGGTCCGTAGATATACATAATAAGCCTAACAAAAAAGGAGTAAAAAAAAAAATTTTTTATCTGTCAGTGAAGATTTTCAAATTTATCAAGATGGAGCCTCATTTTGAAAAATCCTATTAAAATCAATAATCAAGCTCCTTTTCTACAATACCAGATGGTATAAAAGTTTTCAGATTCAAACCTCTGTATAAGAAAAACAAGTACATGTTTCTTAGATATAGGCAACTATAGGCCTGTTAGTGTTTTGAGAATTGTCTCAAAATCTTGAAAGATCTGCACATAATATGCAGCTTGTATGTGTTTCAGATATTTAAGCCTGAAATCTGTTATATTTGTGTTTGTTTTATGTTTCTTTTTTCATAGGATTTAATTCAGATCTTTAAAGGGATAGAAATAAAATTTGAAATTGTCATTAATTTGCTCTATTTCTGATTAATTCTGATATATTAATGTTGAATTCAGGTTTCATTTCAACAATGTAAAATTTTGTATGAACAGGTGATCTGAAGTTTTTGTAATCGTGAACCATTCACTATTTGAAAGTCCATGATCCTGTCTCATGCACAAGTTTCGTGTAAAAAAAAAAAAAAAAAAGTAGTTGATGTATAGTGATATATTAAAAAGAAGTTTTTTGTGCATGTACTTTAATAGTGTAGTAAAAACATATTCTTGCTTACAGATAAACGTGATGCTTTTGATGGAATGGAACCACCTCCTCGACCCAAAACGCCCTCCTCAGAATCTCGACCCAAAACACCATCATATTTCGAAAATCGTCCAAAAACACCAACAAGAAATACAGGAATGTTTGTGAATGACCAACGAGCAAAACCCCCAATCGCTAGGCCACCACCTAGGAATGAGGATTACAACAAAAATTCAGCCAATCAGGATTTAAATATAAGTCACGGATCATCAGAATTTTACTTACCGCCTTCAAATAATGATATGTCTCGTCCTCCAACAGGGTCAAGATTTGACCCCAGATCTGATCATAGACCTTATAGTAGATATCACGATTCAGGGAACAGTCGCAGTAATTTTCATGACAGAGACAGAGAAGGAGGGGCAAAACCTGGAATGTTTAGGAGTCGGACTCCAGGGCCTGAAATGATTAACCGGGGGTCAGATTATAGGAATGAATTTCAGAGACCAAAAACTCCAACTGCTCAAGACATGAGAAGTAAGACTCCATTACCAGGTCACAGTTATGGGTATTCAAACTCAAACCATGATTTTGGTGGTGGGCATTATCAAAATGTTATGAATGGACGACCAGGATACGGAAACAATCAAAGGTCATGGGGACAGAATCCTAATTTACCAACTTCCCCTCCACCATTACGGCGAGGGGATACAGTGAATAGGAATAATGTGAACAATGTCTCTCAGTGGAGGGACGGACTACCACCCCCTCCCCGACAGAGCACATCTTTTGAGGATGTGAACCCCTTCCCAAGTAACATTACACAGGTCCCTAAACGATTCCCCATGCAGTCTCATTCCTCTTTTGGGAGTGCGGGACAGTCAAGATTTGGGACCAGGTTCCCCGACTCAGATGATCCGATTCATAGTATGGAGTTCACTATCACACTCCAGAAACAAGAGGCAGGGTTTGGTTTCCGAATTATTGGGGGCACAGAGGAAGGCTCACAGGTAAGAACATTTGATGTAGACTTAATTTAGATATGTGAAGGATAATGAAACACGGCTGTATGACATCATTCATGCTTATCATTACTATAGTATACTTGTGAGATGTACAAATAGACCATTCGGAATCATGGCATCTCGTCAACAAATGGTAGTATATTTTTTTTAAAAAATCCAATTTAGGTTTCTGTGGGACATATTGTACCAGATGGATCAGCCGATTTGGATGGTCGTTTGCGGACAGGTGATGAAATCACACATGTCGATGGTCAGAACGTCATTAATTCCTCACATCATAGGGTGGTCACTTTGATGACTCAGGCAGGTCAGCGAGGTCATGTGACACTTGGGGTCAGGAGGCGGGTATTAGGAGGTAAGCATTCCTCATTATTTAAAAAAGTAGACATCAGAATGCAAGTACAACAACACTGTCATTTCATGAGTAATGATTCAGCAAATGAAATACACTTAATTATGGATATATTTGATATAAAAATCTTAATTGAGCTAGCGTCAAACTGGTTAAGTTTTTTGAATATTGAAATAAGACCCAGCTAGACAAGACCTTACTGTTGATTTTATTCTGTTATTAGATTCTGGCTATCTATCCTTAGGACACTCAGATATCTATCCATATGACGTCCTGGTGACGCGAAGGGAAACAGAAGGGTTTGGATTTGTCATTATCTCCTCCATTTCCAAGATGGGCTCTGTGATAGGTGAGTGTATCGGTACGTACCAAGGGTTTGTATTATACTTTTATTGAACATTGACATTTGTATTCAATAAAACATAGATCCAAGGGAGAAGAAAGTATTAAATACATGCAGTGGAATTTTTTTCAGAATTTTTTCAGTCTTGTCTGAATTTCACTATTTTAAGTGCATTGAAATAAAAATTCGTCATGTTTTTTTCATTTTGATAAAAAGTATTTGTTGACAAATTTGTGACTGTTATCATATTACCATGATTACTAGTGTTGTTAAAATCAATTACCGGTACTTTATAAGTAGAATTCATTCATGCTAAATTGATATAAAATACTCATGTTTTCTCCCAGAGTAAAAATGTAAACATTTTGATGAACAATATGAAAAAAATTGGTATTGATGCCCCTCATAATTGGTTCTTACAGACCGAGTCAATGACTGGTTAGATAGGAAAAATCTTTATCCATGGATTGGTGAGGCATTCATATGTTTTGCCTGGATATTTCCCAGAATGCAATATTCCTTCCTGTCTGTCCTGGCTTGCACCTCTGTTGACATGATTGCAGTTTTGTCACTGTCAATGAAAATGGTTTTAGTAATTATATTGACTGCAGTTTGTAGATTTTTTTGGTTAAGTTTAAAAGAAATGTTTTTTCCTTAGAAATTTCTATGCTATAAGCATGATAGAGAGTAGAAGCAGTGAGATAAAAATGATGATCTTAGTGTAGAAGAAAAATTTCTGAATGTTAGGGCATCTTAACTCACTGCATGATGACCTTTACAAACAAATTGAAATTAATTGGTTTAATGCAGTGCTTCATGTATGTAGAACTATTGTATTTATGTCTTTCTATGCAGGTGATATATCTTTTTGAAGTTTTCATAATAATTGCATGGCTGAAAAAAAGTTGTTTTGGTGACAGAATGGTAGCCGCTTAAAGGAGTATTGTCTTGTGAAAGCATATTGTTTGTTTGAATAGTTTGTTCAGTGATGACGTTAGTACATGGTTGCAGTGAGGGGCTTTACCAACATCAGAAATTTGTCAAATACCATAATTATGAAGACATTTTTCATATATTCATGATATTCATTCTGACCCATTATAGTCCTAGATTCTGACAGGTTTCCATTACATTAATAAAAGCCACTCAAAATAATTACATTGAAATGGAAGCCCTTGTGTTGTGCAAAAAAGATGTTCAATGAATCATACTTTCATTTTTCCCCTCATCTGTAAACCTATTGTTACACCAGCAACCCTTTAAACCATATATTCCTAGTGCTATATGTACCATACCCATAAACCTTTCTACCGTGTACACTTTTGCATAAAAGCATTTTAAATCTAAAGAGATTATAAGTTAAGGTAGTATTCATATTTGTATTTTTTGGAGCTGATGTCACTGAGGGTTCCTCTGATGTTTTAATCAGTTATGTCAACAGTAAACCAGTTGTATTCTCTGTAGTGCTGTTAGTGTATACAGTATAACCAGATGCATCATGCAAGCAACTTGATCCAACTATTGAATTCTGTCTCTTGCACACAGTTGCACATTTCATGAAACATGCCATTTCTTAATCACACAGTTCATTAGTTTATATGAGTATTCTGTTATGAGTCATCTGGCAAAATGAAACAGGCTTTTGCAGTATTGATCTTCGTTATTACAATGTGGCCAAGAAGCACTTTGCCATCAGTTAAATGTTGAGTGTTTTGATATCACAGGTAAAATCATAGAGAACAGTCCAGCAGAGAGATGTGGCAGGCTTCACATAGGGGACAGAATCCTGGCCGTAAACGGCGTGGACATCTCACACATGCATCATGAAGACATCGTTAATCTCATCAAAGATTCGGGCTACTCTGTCACTCTGACAGTGGGGCCTCCCATAGGTAATTCATTCAAATTGATGTGGGGGGAAATAGGGAAAGTCCCTCAGGTGACTTTTTGGGCCTCCCATTGGTAATTTGTCATCCGTAGTAATTCATCACTCAAAAAGTTGGGGTGTCCTTTAGGGTAATTCAACACTCCTACCTCGGACCTTCAAAAGATAGTTTGTCATTTAGACAGAGAGTGCATCCAAAAGGTAATTTATCAGGAGCAATTAGGCCTTTCACAGGTTACGTGTAATTTACAGATAGGAGCTACAGTTTCATTACTGATTTGAGTTGAGAGTGAGTTTCTTCAGAGGGTCCATATTTTTTTTTTCGATAATATATGAACACAATGTATAATATTGAATGCTACTTGAAAATTTCATCCAGTTTTATATAGAGGTTGGGAATTCTGCATTTTGTAACAAAGCAGGGCAAAATTTTTGTATTTTTTGCTGTTACATCTACTATATTATTGTATGTTATTCTGTGTCCTTTATTTTTACAGATGATGCTGCAAGTAACTCATCAAATTCTCAAAAGGTAACATTGATATTTGATTGACAGTATGAAATGTGCCAAGGTAAAATTCATTCTGACTGAAGTTCTCTAAGATAATTATACTTAATTTCAGAGTCCTCAGGGGTCCTTGGTAAATGCCATGGCTTATCCAGCTGTCCCTGACAGTGAACTGAGAAGGTAATTTGCAAGAACTTCATATAATGTCTATCATGGATAAATAAAGTTCAGTTATATGACATTTCTGTTACTTATAACTACTTATCACCAGCATATTAATTGATCTTTGTGGCAATTTCTTGTTCAATAGCCAAAAATTACATGTAGATCAACATCGGCTTGGCCAAGATCAGGTGCCCATTTCCAACTAAATGATGTTATATAGATGTAACTCTTTATAGTTACATCTAATCTAAATGTCTTTTGTTGCATTGCAAAGAACAGAATGAGAGCTTTCCATTGGTATATAATATCATATATATAGTATCTGCGTCTTTGAAAAAACAACAGAATAAAGTCAAAGATTCATAATTTTTGAAGCGTTATGCTGTTGCACTTGATTTTTTACATTTTAAAAAATGGTTAATTAAAATTATTCTGAATGAAACATTTAAAAATAAATATACTTAATTATAGAAAAATCACTCTGGTTTAGTTTATTTTTTACAGAAAAGAAAAAGGATAAAAATTGTGGAAATTATGAATAAATGTGTGCAGATATACCTTTGTTATATAATTTAAGATTTTTTAATGTTTGAATAAATGCGTAATTTTAGCAAAAAAGAGCAAATATAATGTGTTTAATTTTTTTTTTATTTTACTGAAGAAAAAAAGTACTATGAGAAAAATATAGTAGTTATATGGTAAAATGCCTACACATTTTGTAATTTTTTTCCCATACTGGTCAAAGTTTTTGTATAGTCCGTAGCCCCATATTTTATTATAGTTTGTGTTCAACAAAAGAATGTAGAATTAATCATGCTCTTGTTTGATATTTTCACAGTTACCAGTCAAATTAAAAAACAGTAATGTATAGCTTTTGCGCTAACACTAAAAGAAGTTATTAAAGAATGATTGGTGTCCGTAGCCCTGTATAGTCCGTAGCCCTAATAAAATAACTTCCAGAAAAAGTCATATACATTATTGATACAATAACTACAATACAATAATATTTTTATTCAAACAAGAGCAATGTTTTTTAAATACAAATACCACTGTAATTAAAGATAAAATGTCTGAAAATAAACATTTTTTAACTAAAGGCTTGCTTCTTTAGTCTGTCCTGTTATGTTTGTGGTCACAACATATTTCTAAATATACATGATAAAGTTTTCCTTCTTGTGATACATACTATCATTCCATTTAGAATAATTTGCATTGTAATATTCTTAAAAGGATATTTAGCCACAAAAATCCTACTTACAAAAGGGCTACGGACTCTACAAATAAATTTAGCAAATTTACAGACCATATAATCGTACTTCTGTATTGGCAAGATTTTTTTTCCTGCCTGCATCTACTGCAAAATTGGGCTTCAATGGTTTATTACTTCTCATCAACCAGTCTTAACATTCCATAGTGCGATTTGATCCCAAAACATAAGGATCAACTCCTTACTTTGCAATTTAGTACAAAGTGAGACCTTCACTTTTATAATTGTGCCACCCAATCTACTTTTCACTGAATTGTTAATTTTAAAAAAAAGCATTGATTTTCGATGGATAAATATTGTACTAATCATGTTTTTACTTCAAATGATCAATCATGTTTTGTAACTTTCTTATGAATTACACCATATGATCATGAGAAATTATATACCGATACACCTTTTGAATGACCACCTTGAGCTCCATATATTACATTAAAATAAAAAAAAATATGAAGTTATATTGTCTGTAACCCCCCCCCCCCCCAAAAAAAAATCATGCCTTGATTTAAATACAGCTCCTTTTGCTTTTATTCATTATAGTTTGAACACCAATAATGCATTAATTAGTTGAACTGGAATTTCATTTGGCATTGAAAGTACACAGTACATTAGACACTTGATTTTTAAATATGGTACAGGTGACTCTCGATGGCTCGAACTCCGATCTCTCGAAGTTCTCGATCTCTCGAAGTGAACCTCCGGTCCCGTTTTTTTCCTCTATATAACTAAGCAAATTTACTTCCGATCTCTCGAACTTCCAATCTCTCGAAGTTCTCTATCTCTTGAACCAAGACCTGGGTCCCGTTACACACATTTCATTGTTTTTATTGGGTGTTTACATAGATGTCACTATACCTGTGAGCATCTGAGTGTTGATATAAATAATTGGTTATAATTGGTAAATTGTAAACGAATTGCTTCACAACTTATTTTTTGACTTGACAGCGCGACGAAAATTTTTAGAGAATAATTTAAGAGGCGTGTCAATAATTTTCCATAGATTATGAAGTTTTTATTAGAATGTACATAATCCCAGTATGACAAACATTGCACAAGAAATCCTATCTCAAGAATTAAATACCGATTTAATACGAGAAATCTGTTAAAGTACCCGATCAGGCCCGTGGGTTAGCCACACCGACGATTGATATTCAGATTTTATGTAATCGTGAAATGGGAACAAATAAATATTGAAACTTAAAGAGATCGTTTTATTTATTCAAAATACGATCATTGTTGTTGAAATCAAGTGAATTATCTGTAAACTACGAATGAAAACGTGCAATGCTATTATCAACATATACTTCCGGTATTTATAATAGTGGAACAATGATGATCGGAACTGAAAATTCCGGATTTTATTCACTTTCTATCTCTCGAACCCCTCGATCTCTCGAACTTTTCTTGCGGTCCCTTGAACTTCGAGAGATCGAGAGTCACCTGTATTTTGAATACTCAAACTCAGTAGCGTGAACTTTTATAGAATGCCAAATAATAAAAAAAAATTGCCCAAAATTTAATTATACAATCATATTTTCTTTAAGTTGATTGTCCACAATAGAGATGATTAACGGTATAGTCCGTAGCCCCAGTGCTCAGATGAAATCCAGCCTTCATAGATGCTAAATTAAAGCCCATTCTTGGTCTCCAGATGATACAATTACATGTAATTCTGACGTGTATTATTTTTTTCTGACAATTTATATTTTACTCGTGAATTTATTTGAAGTTTTTCGTTTTATTTTGCTAAATTGCACGTGATTTTTGTATAAATTGATTTAATATCCAAATGAAAGGATTTATTAAACATGTGTGAACTCCATGATGACAATTTTAACAAATATATACTGATACAAACAGGTATTTCTCTATGGCCTCTCAATAAATGAAAAATACTATATGTATAGTCCGTAGCCCGAGGTTTCAAAATAGTCAATCAAAAAATGTTTGACACAGTTTTTCTCTGAATATTACCAAATAAGTTTGTAATTTTCATCCCCACATACAATATCTTTAAAAAATTGAAAGTACTTTAATGTATTTTTACTTCAGATGTCCAAATAATAAGAGTAGAAAAACTCCCAAAGATTAACAAATTTACCCATGTCCTTATATACTGTAACATTTTAAAGGAAATGAGTTAGGTGACTTTTCTTGCTCAGACAATGTTTTGTGAAGAGTTTGTATTTGAATTATACTTTTTTTGTTTAGTTGAATATAATAAAGATAAATGTTATGCCTGAATATGTATAGTCCGTAGCCCACTTGGGTCTCTGCTATATTAAGAGTGAAATCTTTTTAACCGCTTGACAGAAATGGACAGAAATTTCAGACAATCTGCCAAAAGGATGTAGTGTTACATAGAACATATTTGTAAGATATTTCGTTTGACTTCATTTTTTTGTTAATCTGCAACCAACATGGGCACCTGATCTTGGCCAAGCCGACAAGCTTTCATAATTTCATGAGTTATGTCCTGATGACCTTAACATATTTCTGTTTTTTCCTAGGTTCCCCCCTCCTCCCTCCCCAGCAGACAGGGGCTATAAGGACATAAACAGACAGCACATGTTCCCCAAACATCAAAGTTCAGATGAAGGGGAGTACTATGTAGAATTGCCAAGGGGCTCCCGAGGGTTTGGTTTCTCAATACGAGGAGGACAGGAATTTAACTGCATGCCTCTGTTTGTTCTGAGGATCGCTGAAGGAGGATCCGCGGATCTAGACGGAAGACTCCGGGTGAGTCCAGATCTTTAAACTGGAAAGTTAATGTGCCTTTGAAAGGCAGTTGGTTTTTTTATGGTATTTAGCTAAATTTGTATTTTCTATATTCTTTGGAGAGAAAAAAGCAAAATCAGCTTTGTAATTGGTATACTACTACTAATAATTTTGTAAACTAATAAGGGATATGAATGAATATTAGATAGGTTGAGCAAGCTTAAGAGGGAGCTCTTTTCTATATTATTGACTTTTAAGTGATAAGTATTGAAAATACAAAAGTGTAAGTGAATAGATCAGGACCTAGATATATAAAATTTTAGGAGATGACAATGTATCGTTGAATGCCCTTTATTTCAGGTGGGTGACCAGATACTCGAAATTAATGGCTACAAAACAGAAAGTATGACACACTCTGATGCTATAGATATTATACAAAATGGCGGCCAAACAGTTCGTCTGCTGGTCAGGAGAACAGGAAAACTGCCACCTGCATTTGGTAAAATATTGTTTTAAAAAATAATTCTAGTTTACATTATGACATGCAACTGAATGAATGTTAAACAGTCCAGAAGAATATCTTTAAAGATACATTTAGTATTCCGAAAGTGTTTTTAAAAAAATTTGCAATAAAAAATGTAGAAAAAATCAGAAAACAAAATTTTCATCACATACATGAGCTTGATAAAATCAATCTGATCAATTAACTGTGAAACGAGGCATTTTTCATAAATTTTGTTTGCTCATTGAGTTACATTGTATCTCAATACAGAGCCTAGTCCAGTGGGTGGAGGGTATTCACCTTCAAACAACGTACCAATGACAAATGGTCCTATAGGTCAAAGTTCACCATATCTTGGTCGCCGCAACATTGACATGAGAGAACCAAACTATTTTGGTTACCAAGGAAATAGGCAGTATTCAGGTTGAAGGTAGAGAAAGGTGTACATTTGTAATATGGTGCCAAAACCAAAAACAGTGACCAGCCGGGGAAAGAAAATGGCCAGATGATTCTTGACTGCGCACACCCTGGACAAGAGATGGAGATTGTTAAGTGTGATACATGGTTGATATTACTGTATGTGATATTTCTTAGGTTGTTCTTTTGACGATATAAAAAAAAAACCCATCTGCGGAGATGATTAACTGTGTAAGCTATTAACAAGGAGGATTTTTTTTTTGCATTTCTTTAATACAGTTCTTTCGTATTTTGCCATTGATTATACATACTAGCATTGTTGTTAATTGACATTTACATTACATTAATCAAATTCTTGTCAGTTGAGTTGCATTTACGTCTGTCAGATTTTTGTTGGATTGCATTTGATGGGAGAGCACATTGTATACAGTAAAGCAAAGATTAGCTGCAGCATTATCTTCAGGGTTGATGATTGCAACTAGCATCTTTTTTGTCGTTGGAAGCTCACAGTTTTCGTTTAATTGTTTTGTTACTAATTCTGTTGTTTCTATAAGCTCTAATGTCCATGCAGAATATCTGAAATCTGTTTAATGTATTTTGTGTGAAACAGAGTGTGAAAATTTTAAAGCAATATCTCCAGTTATTTAATATTTACTAACTTCTTTCTCGCTTTTGCAGTTTGGGACATATTTCTTGAGATTTTTTTTAAAAACTAGGGTATTAAACTTATTAACTTGAATGAATTAATTTTAATTAATATTAATTGTCATCAGATGCAAGTTTTGACAGAACAGTGATACAAAAGGCTCTTTTAATGTAGCCTCAATTAACATTATCTTTAAAGTTGTAAATATATCTATCTATTACGATTAACATACTGATGGGGCCAGTTTTAAATCTGTGTATATAAAGATGTGTATTCCGAGATGGGGTAGTAATTTATAGTATCTTGGTATTTCTTATTTAAATATAAAACATATCAGCAGGGCATACAGTTGTAATGGTAAATGCCCTTCAGTATGCAAAGACTAAATTGAGATTTTTTTTTTTAGGTATCTGTGAATGGTCTTGAATATGCACTCTGATACATATTGTGGTATTGTGAAATGCCATATTTTTTGGTGGCTTCAGTTTTTTTTTTTTATCTTTTAAGTACTTATTTTGCCGTTCCTAGAACACTTTTTTCGTTTTGCTGCTGATTAAGTATTTTTGCAATAATATCTCTTTTAACAAAATCAGTTGTTGTGTAAGCCTTTTGAAGGCCTTCATTTTTTTTTTTCAGAAGTTTGCTTCGATATACCAGTAAAACTTGTTCAGCTATTAATAGTGCTTAAATGTACATGTGTATATATATATATATTTTATACTTTTACAGTACAATCTATATTATAACAATATGAAGGAAATGATTGAAATCAAATGAAAACTTGAAACATCTTGGATACACACTCTTAAGTGATATCAAATCTTGCAATCATTTTGCTGCTCGACCCAAGTAGAAATTGGAACTTATACTTCACACATTTATGTCATACCCCTAACTACATAGAAATTGTATATACCTTAAAAAAACAGTTCATTGATTTTTATTTGTGTATTTTTTTTCTCCAAAGACAAACCTAACATATATTTATATCCATTGAATTTTTAATGAAATCTGAAATACATGTATTATTGCAATACATATACATTTTCTGAACAATATTGTTAGTAAACAGTGTTCTTAATTATTCAATTAATCATTACATGAATGAGAGAACAACTTAGACATAGATTTCCTTTCAGACAGTGCAAGTTGTTCCATTGATTGTCAGTTGTAAATTTATCATATATGAATGTTATATCATTAATTTATCAGTGATGTTGCTTATCTACATTATACATATATAAGTCTTGTTTTAATGCAGTATAAAATATATAGATTTTTACACAATATATACAATGTTTATTTCATTATTGGTAAATATTAAGATAAAAGTGTAAGGTTGTCATTGTTATAGGGCTTTAGTTAAGGTTGTATGAAATTTATTTATAGTATTTTGCCTTCAAATTGAAAAAAAAAAAAATGTCAAATTATCGACCATCTATTTCAGATTGTTAATGTATTTTTACATAATCATTATATTGAGAAGAGACATTTTGTTATTTGATCAAAATTTTCAAATATCATCGTAATTTTTTTTTCCAGTAACTTTATGCAATGACTTTTGTCGTATTTAGTTTTATTTTTTACCTTATTTAATCATACAGTATAATCCCTGTTTTCTAATTTGGTCATTGTTAACGGCAGCACTGTGTCATTGCTAGATAAATCGTACAGCAGTTGATGTTATACAGGTAGTGATGTAAATATATAATACAGTATGTACAGTTAACTAGATCATAATGTACAAAATTAATTTCACTTGTACAGGTCAAAAAATAAATTTGTTATAATGTGGAATCCTGTCTTTGTCACTTTCTATGCAAGAACTTCATCACTCGACCTTTAGCCATATCAACAATTTGTCAGTTAGCAAGGATGTGTTGAATTGAATTCATGGATATCATCAAGTCAAGCATTGGCATCTCAACATCCATATATAAAAGACTTTGATATATGAAAGTTTATTTAGAGTCCTATCAAGTTTCAAAGGTATGAATGTATTGAGGCACAGATGAACATGGAAATATTTTCAGTTTTCATATCAGAAAAGAAGAATATTACAATTACATATATGTACCAACTTGATATAATTAATCCTCTTTGACAGCTGTTTGTAGATTCCTATTGTTTTTCAAGGTTAAAGGTCAAGGTTCCATGAAATGGATAGAAAGTTCATTTCCTGATAAAACATGACTTAAATTGATTAGTTGATGTGAAGATCTGCTTACTTAATGCTGACTCAATGAGGATGATCTATTCATTTTCAAGGTCATAGCTCAAAGGTCAAGGTCTCTACAGTAAAATATGCTTATACCAAAATGCCAGGGACAAACAATTCTGATTCTTCGTAAACATAATTCATAATACTCAATTGGTTTGTAATGCACTTTTGAAACAAGAAATGAAAATTGCTTATCTGTATTAAAGCATGAATTCATTCTAAGTGTGTTTACTGTATTGCAGATCAAATATATAGTACTTGAAAGTTAGAATTGAAGGAAAATGAATAGTATAATATGAAATTGATACTTTAAAAATTCATATCAATTTAAAAAGGTGAAGGTATCATCAAATTCCATGGTAGATTTATGCAGTTGAATGATCTGTCTTTAGATATAAGGCGGAATAAATAAAAAGCTACAGTGATTGTCACAATTTAAAGTACAGTCAAACCTCATAACCTTGAATTCAATGGGACCAAGGAAAAAACTTCGGGATATCCAAGGATTCACGATATTGAGGGCAAAATACTTAGAGAATAAGTGGGTGGGACTTCAAAAAAAAAAAAGTTTGATATTTCCATGGTATTTGAGATATCTGTGTTCGAGATATCGACATTCAACTGAAGTTAAAAAATTCCTTAACATTTATAAGACCAAGATAAATTGAAAATATTATTTGCAATTATTTTCCCAAAGTTAAATTAACAACAGTGATTCCTGTTCATCGTCTCTAAATATATTTTTGTTTGGGAAATATGGCTACATATACTCTATGTTGAAAATGAACTATGTAGTTAAACTCTTATGTGCACCTTTAGTCGATATAATTTTCTCAAAGTCCAAAAAAATCATTTTTTATTTTATATGTGCTTAAAGCTTCCTTGAAGAAATTTTATTTAGAAAATTTTAAGGTAATTGTGTACTTGATTTTAGGTGTGAGTGGGTCTGTGTGCATTTTTCCAATATTCTGTTGATTTACTAACACTTAATTAATTTCAGAACTATGCAATGATTATATAATTATACTTCATGAAATTGACATATTATATCATTCTTTAAACAGTGCTGTAGGCTTTAAATTCTGCTATACGGTAATATTATCTATAAAGTGGGCTATTTTGCAATTGTAGCTCTTGAGCACATTCTAAGGGAGCTAAATCTTGTATCGTTTGACATTAGCAAAGAGAAAAGAATAACATTTTATTGTTAAAATGTACATATCTCAACATACATGTAAATTGTTAACAGTAGTAATTATTGAATTATTTATTGACTATTATCACAGACAGTTTACAGATTTCAGCTAATGATTAATTTATCTACCTCCTATAATAAATTCAGAAGTAATATTGAGCAATTGTGATATTTCTTTTTAAAAAAAAATTACAAAGACTACTTTTTATTTAACTTCTTAAGGACCAAATAAGAAAACTAAATGAAATATATAATGGAATAAAAAGCGGGGGAAAAAATCTAGTTCATCAAAACAGTACATAGTTTACAATTCAATCAACTAAATTATTTTTATAATTTTTGCAAGGAAGAAAATCAACATCTGATCTTTGGCACATTTTTGTTAACTTTGACACATCACAGCAAATAATTGAACACTACAAACACATATACCTCCATACAAAATAATTCTGTTGTACATATTTTGTTAAAAATATCTGCTTCGTATGATTATATAATTATCTAAAATGTATATTAGTATATTTAAAAAAAAAAGGCAATAAAGAATTGGTGAATTATTTCAGTCTATAAAAATATCCAATCACAGTACTTGACTTGAAATATATCACTAAATAAAGGCACCCTGCATCAAATCTAGTTTTTTATAGAGACCCTGTGATAATTAAGTCAGGGAGAATTAAAAGCAAGTTATTATATTTGTAAACCCTGGTTTCAACTGTTGAAACTGTAACCCTGCAGAACAGTACAAATATAAAATGCTGATCTAGTATATGTATAGTCTGTTAATGTTATTAATGTAATGTAAGTAGACAGATTAATTCTTTATGCACACATATTGCAATTCTTAGACACATTTATATGTAGCCTGTAAAACTCAAGCCACAGTTGTTTACTCATATGCACCTACATTTTCATATGAGAAAAAGATGCCATATTCGAAGATATCAAAACAAGAAAGCTGGATAAGCTATCTTGAAACATTGTGTAGAATTTGTGCTAGTAATATTGACTTGATAATAAACAAAGCATAAGAAAATAATTTGTTATGAATTAATGTAAGTCTACAAAAATACAACTACTCCTTTTTTACAATCTTAAATTGGTCAAATGGGGACAATATGAGGGTTTGGGTTGGCATTTTTTCAATTACTTATAGCAAGTTTAATTATGTCTTTTACATACATGAATCGTAACAAAATTTAAGTTCTATGACTCTACAGATTATACCCGTCACCAAAAACCACAGTTGAATTAATTACTTCTAACATGCAGTCCAGTAATGTTAGAGAAATTAACACAATATGAATTCTTCTAAACAAAATATGCACTCATTTCAGTGTCATTATATGTATATAAACAGCACCAATATTCTAGAATTTATGCTTATTATAAGTGCCCAACAAAGACAACAATTTCATGAAAGTAAAATCATTCCAATGCTTTCACAATTTCTGCAGCAAAAACAGAATACACAATGATATACCTTAATTGATCAGAACATAATGCACCTAAGTGTCACAATTTCTGCCATGTTTCTGAAATATTTCAAATTAATGTGCATACATATCTTTTAATTGAGACATGGTGCTATTTTATCAAGTTTGACCCAAAGAACTGATTCTTTGTACAGTTTTATAGATCATATACATGTGTATTTTGTACATCACTCACTCTTTCAGTTCATTTGGAAAATAGAAATATGGGTGTATTTTACTGAATGAAATATAAGCTATCTGTAGTTCATTTCAAGGCTATAAAATGCAGAGTGAACTTACAGAATAGTTCTTTCATAATAACCCATAATCTAGATACCAGTACTTGATTCAGTCATTGTTAGCAGGAATGAGTGCAGTACATCTAATAAAATTGTTGCAGTATTTGGCACAGCTACATATTTCATTGCATACATACAATGAGATCATGATTATCTAAATGGCCACTTCTACATGCATCACAAAAACACTTCATAAATACACCTAATCTATGATTGATAATGAATCCTAAGAGAAATTTTCATTATTTTTTCTTCTTTTTCCCTTTTCCTTTTTTCCCTTTCTTTTTCCCAGCATCAGGCCAACCAAACCCTCGCTTGTCTAGAGCATCTGGAGCATCATGTGCAATGTAGTACAGATTTTCCATTGCTGCTGGACTCATTATGTCAGGGGCAGATTTATCTCCCTTTTCAGACTTTGCTGACTGACTCCTCGACTTGGCCGATTTTTTTCCTCCTTTCTTCCCCCCTTTCTTCCCAGATTTTTTCCCAGACTTCTTTCCTCCTTTTTTCTTTCCAGGCTATAAAGGAAAGTGTAGTAAAAAAAATCTGTTATTTAAAACAAAATCGTTGACTTAATAAACAATAAATTAACAGAAAATTATGTAACAATTCATTTATTTAATTCTATACATAATTGGAACTGAGGATATAATGAGACTTGCATCAGAAATTTTTTTCTTCCTTTCATGATTTGCAGCTGTTCATATTCTGTATTTAGTAACACCATGATATGTTTACTTGGATAATATATATTTTATTTTTACCATATCTGGGTGTATTCCTGTCATCAGAGTGTACTGGAATTACTGCATAGTCTTCCTTCTATTCTTTTAAGTTACCAGGTCATTGTCAGCAACAAGGTCACTTAACTATCATTTTGTTCATTTATCCTTTGAAAAGAAAAACAGAATTATACCATTTACAATATTTGGTTGTATATAATAATCAAGCCCTTCTCTGTTTCTCCCATTACATTTTATTTGCTGTACTTACTTGTGATAGTTATATAAGTGCATTACAATTTATGCTGTTTTTTTTTTAAATTTCAGTCTTTTTTGTATTTGCTAGTATATGTGCTTATTTCCTATGATTCATTTAAATTATGCTTTTTTACTAACTATGTATATATTTTTACTAACTTTTATCTGTGTAAATTTGTTAAAGTTGGTTAAAGAGCTATCATAGCTCATATTATTATGTTACACTGTATATTCATGCCGACTATAAATAAAATTTACTTGAACTTGAACGCAAGCTTATCTCCTTTGTAAACTAAATGTATAGATTAAACTATTAAACCAGGTTGGAATCTACATTTAATTTATAACAATGACTGCATATTGCAGCCAAACGATATAATGATAGATTTAAAAAAAAAATGACCTTTATTTTTTATTTATTTATTTTTTTTTTCACTAAGATATGGTATATCACATATATCATATCTTTCTTTGGATAATGTTTATTACAAGTCCATATCAGTTCTATTTCGCTGTTTAATAAGTTTTCCTTATTCTGTGACTTTAAATATTTATTTTTATTGACCCATCGTGAAAGTGCTAGCAGTATTTTTGAGAGAACGCAGCAAAAGCAACATCCATTCGTAA